TCTGTACTGGAAGCTGTTCTATTCAGCTGTCCCCAACCTCTCTGCTGTATCAGAAACACGGGGAGTCACAAGAAAACTAGTGGTTTTATCTCAGTATGATAAAATAATGGTAACAAAAGGGGGTGCAGAGCGGTTGGGTGTAACCAAGTTCTGAGTGAGCCTGGTACAGTCTGGGGCCACTGGGGTCACCCTTTGGCTGTGTCTTAGCAGCGCCGTTGGTTTGAGAGAACAGATGCTCCGAGACAATCTGCCCCACGTTCAGCCTGTACAGGATGGGATGAGGAGGGACCGTGAGTGAACAATCTCACAGGTCCTCCCCAACCCGCCCCTGGAAACTATGGATAGTTTCTCCATGGATGTTCAAGGTATATAACTATAAATACCTAGAACATCCAAACTAGAAGAGTTTACAACCCTGCCTAAATCTTTTTGTAGAATAAAAGTAAGGGTTAAAAGGAAGTCTGTTGGGTACACCAATGTTCAAAGCAGTATTCACAGTAGCCAAATGGTAGAAACAACCCAAATGCCCACCGACAGATAAACAGACAAATGAGATGTGGTATATACATACAATGGAAGTATTCAGCCTTGAAAGATACGCTGACACACACGCTCCAGCATAGAGAACCTTGAGGATGTTATGCTCAGCAAAATAAGCCGGACACAAAAGGACAAATGTTGTATGATTCCACTTACATGACGTACCTAGAACAGTTAAATTCATGGACAGAGAGCAGAATGGTGGTCGCCAGGGGCTAAGGAAGGCGGGGATGGGGAGTTACTGTTTAATGGGTGCAGAGTTCAGTTTTGCAAGATGAACAAGTTCTGGACATGGACAGTGGTGATGGTTACAGAACAAGGGGAATGTATTTAGTGTGCTCAACTGGTACATGAAAAATGGTTAAAATGGTCACTTGTATGTTACGTCTATTCTACCACAATAAAAATAAGGGGAAAAAGTCTATTGGGGTTTAAATAATAGAACTAATGCTTTGCTTTTCACATCTGCTAGGGAACTCCCACTGGTATCCAGGACATTAAAAAGTCACAAGAGAGGAATCTGGTCGCTGTGCATTTTCACCTTAGGATGGCACTTCTTGAAAGGCAGACTGTGTTAGAAACTCTTTCAGAATCCTGAGAGCGGACAGTGTGGTGAAGCGGCCTTGCCAACATTTACCGTGGGGAGCGACACCACCTAGGAGTCGTAGGGAGGGAGATAAAACGAAGGAGATGCCGTTCAACCTTCTAAATGGTTGTCTTCCAAACCTACAGAGACCTGGGGAGAGGCAGAGCCCCAGGCCTCAGGGATGGTCCCACGTGGGCAAAGGGCTGGAGAGGAGGCGGTAGGGGAGGGGCAGGAAGCAGAGTCTTTCAACTGTTTTAATTTTAGAAAAGGTGTCTTTTTTAAAAATTGGGAAATGAGTTCACAGTTACTGTCTGGCTTATTATTTATATATCAACTGCATTCTTTTGTCTCAAAAATTCTGTAAATTTATTCTAGTTGCCTATTCTAATATTTTGAGCTTTTCATGTTTAATTGTCAAATTATATTATTATAGTTTGGTGTTAAATTTTCCCTCCCACTTCCCTAAGAAAAATATTAAGTCATTAACTATTCACTTGTTTCATGTAATGTTGGGAGGAAAAAAATTCTAAGGAATATATCATCTAGTTGTCTGAGATAAACCCAATGTTTTAAAGATTAAAAAAGCATGTCATCAAAATCTGTTGATTCTTAATCTGGTAACTCACCTGGCCTTTAAAAGAAAAAAACAAACCAACTCTTCTAAAAAACAAAAGCATACAAAAGTGGAGATATGGCTCTAGTGACTTTATGTCCCCTAACTTAGCTTAAATAATTATTGACTTCTGGCTAATCTGACAACATGCTTCCTGCCTCCTCTCAGAGTATTTTGAAGTAAATCCCAGACATTATACTGTTTCATCCATAAATATTTCAGCATGTGTTTCTAAAAGAAAAGGATTGTTTTTTAAAACATACCTGTGATGCCATTATCATGCCTAATATTTTAACAATTTGTTAACAGAATTGAACGTGCCTCCTGGTTTGTTTGTTTGTTTGTTTATTTAAGAGGGAGAGAGAGTGCATGCGGGGAGGGGGTTTGGGGAGGGGCAGAGGGAGATGGAGAGAGAGAATTCCAAGCAGACTCTGGCTGAGGGTGGAGCCCAACACGAGGCTCCATCTCACGACCCTGAGATCATGACCTGAGCCGAAATCAAGAGTCGGATGTTCAACCGACTGAGCCACTCAGTGCCCGCCCCCCACCCCCGGTTATTTTTCATGATGGTTTTGATAAACTTGGCCTCATCGGTCCAATGAGTACAGGGAAGCAGATGAGCACAAGGCAGCTGGCCTTGGCTTTGAAGTGAGTTAGACTCCAGTGAGTTAGACTCCAGTGGGAACCCAGTTCTGCCATAAAGAGCTATGTGACCCCCAACAAAGTTACTGCAACATCTGGAAAAATGGGAAAGTAATTCCACCTACTTTAAAGATTGTTACATAATTAAATGGGAAAAAATATATATACATATATATACAAGTGCCCATAGACGGTCAAGAAATGGCAGCTATTATATTAACAGCAAAGTCATCTATGTTCCTAAATAAAAACTGCTGGAAACCTCTGTTAATCATTACTAAAAAACTTTTGGATCCACTCAGATGGTGACAGCTACCGTGGGAATCACCTGTCTCAGAGCAGGGCAAACTTTGCAAAGGACCAGGCAGGAAGTGTCCCAGGCTTTGAGGCCAGCTGGTCTGTAGGGACGCTGAGAAACTCTGCCATTGTAAGGCTGAAGCGGCCAGACAAAATGAAAATACATGGGTGTGCCTCTTTCAATAAAACTTTATATAAGGACACTGGAATCTGAATTTCATGTGACTTTTTATATGTCACAAAAGGTTATTATCGTTTTTTATTTCCCAACCATTTAAAAGTGTAAAAAGCAGAGAGCTGAGGACGAGTCAAGTGCAGGCAGCCGGAACACTGTTACGTGTGGCATCCCCATGCCGGGCAGCCAGGGCCCGATGCCCGGAGGCCCCCATCCTGCCCATCCACCGCCTGCCAATCCCGCCTGTCCTCCAGGCTTCTTTCAACTCTCCCAGTGGCTCCCCAGGGGAATCCAGCTCCCCTGACCCCGGGTGCGCCCCCTCCTCTGGTGCCACAACGAGGGTATCCAGGATGCCAACCCCATGGTCCTCACGCAGCACCTACTCCGGACATGCTCCCTGTGAATCCCTCGGCACATGGCCTCGTAGGACCAGGAATGGTGATGGACAAGAAAATGGGGAAGAAAATGAAGAAAGCTCATAAAAAGATGCACCAGCACCACAAGCATGACAAGCATTCCTCCTCCTCTTCTTCCAGCACGGACTCTGACCGGATACAGAGCCTGGACCCTTCCCTCAAGCCTCTCCAGGTCCGCTCTCCCATCAAGCTTCAGGTGCCTTCTCATGCTGGGGAAAATTAGTCCTCGCATCCCTCCTCCCTCCCCCACCAGTCTGAGCCTTCCGCTGGCTGCGTTCAGCCAAATGAGAAATGAATTACCATGGGCCAGCAAAGACCGTCTTTTCACTATCGGGATAGAAACTTTCAGCTGATGAGTTTAGCAGGAGAACGATTTTTTGAGGACAGTGAGACCTTTGAGCTAAATGCTGAAGACGAGTTTAAGATCTATAAAATGTGATTTTTAAACAAAAATTCTTTTGAATACTCGTGGTGGCGAGGTGTTGTGGAAGTTTAATTATGGAAAAAAAGAAACTGCACCATTTTTGCAGTGGTAAAAAAATATGTAAAAATCACTGTTAAAATTTGCCGCAGTGACCGTTAAATTAGATAGTTTAGATAAATTAGATAGCTCAATGCGTACTTGGAAAAAACAACTCATTCTTAGCTTGCGGGCCACATGAGAAGGGATAGCAGGCTGGATTTGGCTCCTGGGTCCCTTCATTTAGTAACCCTGACACTTCCATTTCACCAGCCCCAGCGCACAAAATTCTGAATGAGGGCTCTGCTCTTCATTATCAATAAGAGATAAATTCACGGGAGAAACCAAAGTACAAGTATTAGTATATGACACTAATACGAAAGGCCTGGCAGCCTGGACCACACCTGAGCTTTGAGAAACTCTGTGGAAAAGCCTCAAGCAGGCCAAGGTCCACGTGCGCTCCTGCTTAAAAGGCTCCACTCCAACATTCCAGAGGAAATCATCCCGCTCACCTTCCCTCTTGTCCCCTTCCCCCAAACAGAAACCGTTAACTGTGAGATACAAGGAGCGTTCTACAATCCATACACTTCCGACTTCTCCAGGTAACAGAAACTGAGTGTAGAACTTTTGCTGGAGCTTGTAGGCATGACAGGTACATAAGCTGGATTCATCACATCCAGTGTCTACGATAAAGCAATTGGGAAGGTCCGACTTGACTTGGGGATGACTGGAATCCATACACTGAGCAGAGTCAGACAGGGATTCTGCAGCATCTTGGTCAATGCACCTGCTGTGTCACCCCAAGCCATTCCTCCACGCCCCCCCCACCCCAACACACACACTCAATGAGCCATTTCAACTCCAGCAACAAGGACTTTCTTTGTACGTATTAATACCAATGACAAAACCAAGAATTTCATAATCCAGGTCCATATCCACAGCTATTCATTCATTTTAGACTTTTTCTATTTTTCTCCCAGAGAGGTTTTAATAAAGAATAAACAAAAGTGTTCTTCCCCTGCAATTTTACTGCAAATAAAATGACAAAAATCAATCACAGCTGCTTTAGGGAACAGCAGAAACTCTTGGTTTCACCACCCTAGAAGGCTCCCGTGTGAATGCTAACGTATGAACTTTGTATTATTAAAAACGCAACGGAGTAAACACGTAGCTGAAGAGAGACCTTTTGGCCCACATTCTCTCAAAATGATAAAATTATATAAACCGATAATTTCCCATCTCAAAATTAAGAAGGCAAACATCATGCTTACTTTCTCTAAATGCTTTACAGTAGCCAAGGAAAGATAACAGAAAGAACAGGGCCCCAAGGAGGTCTGCGCGGCCGACAACACCAGCAACCTTGAAAGAAGAAGAAAAAAAGATTTACATAAAAAAAAAAGTTAAAAAAATCCTAAACTTAGGAAACATAAAAAATTTCTTAGAAATGAAAGGCAAAAACCTTACTAGATTCTGTCATCTATTAAAATGACTGTGCAACAGTCCTGTGGTCTTATCTTACAATAGGGTTTTCTTTTCCCTCTTTGGACTAAGACTCGAGCTAGTTGCTTCCGAGAGATCGGGATGGGCAGGATCGTACCGCTGGCTGTTCTGGGAGCAGGAGCCCCATCACAGCACCCTGCACCCTACAGCCCAGACACCCACGCTGCTGATAGCCCTCAAGTGGATTTTCAACGGAAAATGTTATCAGCTCAAAGGGCAGAATATTTAGTAAACAAAATTTGATTGGAGACATGGAGGAGAGGTGGGAAGTAAGTGTGAAACGTCATCAGGCAAACAGAAAAAGGTAGAGGAACAATCATGCAAAGCTACCTCTGCCACTGCTCCTCCCTTCAAGACCAAAACCGGTTCGGGGGGGTTAACCTGGAAAGCAGAATGCTTCGAACGTGATTGAGAAGGAAGACGAAGACAGAAGAAAACGTCTACCATTTCTTTCCGCCGTGACTGCCCTCTCCTTCTCTACCTTAGTGATAACAAAGCAATGTAAAATTTGTGTCTCACATCACACCCAATAACCGTTCTCTACACATCTCCTGGCAGAGAAAGACAGAAAACTCCACTCGGGAGTGTGGGTCTGGCTTATGTAGCACATTTGGCTAACCAGCACTTGGAGGTGACACATACCAAAGCTTTACTGGGATTCTCTAGGTATTACTCCAATAGCTGGTAAGTTTATCTTTTCTTAAAGGATGGGGACTATGAAATGTGGGACAGAATAAAGACTAAGCTATAAATGGAGGTAAGAGAATAAACAATTGACGTGAAATTACTATGTTTACATTTGATTCCCAACTATGTGGACAAGCAATGGCTAAAAAGAATGCCTTTGAGCAGTAATTTCCCACTACCCTGGCTAGATATAAAATGCTGGAGGTGATTATCCATTTTGATCTTTCATTTCTGACAGCAGTGCGCGTGGCAATGCAAGGTGTCACACGATTGTTAAGACTGAAGGAGCTGATGAATCCAACCCACAGGGAAAACCCTCCCAAGAAGGAAGCTAAGGACAAACAAAGGTTCAACGGATCTGGAACAAGCATGCCAATATGCCAGAGGGTTAAGCAGTACAATGACTTCATGAGTGCAGGAACCACGTAATGAGAGTTCTTGAATACTCCAGCCTGCACCTCACTCAGTCAGGGACCTGGGAAAATCGGGGCTGCAGGTAAACTGAACAGTGCCTGGCACGCAGTAGGTGCGCCTGGCACGCAGTAGGTGCGGGCTCACTGTTAGTTCCCCACAAGAATCCTGATGCGTGCTTCTGTAAGCAGCGGGGGCAGAAAGGAATGGACAAAGGCGCCGGAGCTCAGGGCGAGAGGCAGGTGTTGTGGTGAGGGCACTGTGGTGAGTGACAAAGCCAGGACACCGAGAGGGAAGGGAGGGGCATCTTCCATCTGCACCTATCTACAGCGCCCGAGGATGGCCCTGAATCCCAAAGCCTCACAGAACAGAAAGTAATCCAAACCCATGCAGAGAAGCTTATCCAAAGGGGTCCCTAAAGCAAGGGGCTCAGGAGAAGCAGGGGGTGGGGTGGTAACGGGTCGGAAAACAAGGTTTACTGAAATGAGTGAGGGCAGGGAAGTGTTTGGATAAATACCAGGGATGAGGCCAAAACAACCAGCCTTAACCACCTGTTATCTAGATAGCTAAGGTACATTTAAAGACCTGCACTAAAATGAAGGTTAAACATGATAAACTTATTTTTTTAAATGTATATTTATTTATTTTAGAGAGAGACAGAGCATGCATGTGCGTGCATGTGTGTGTGGGGGGGGGGTGAAGATCAGAGGGAGAGGGAGAGAGAATCTCAAGCAGACTCCACACTGAGCACAGAGCCCAACGTGGGGCTTGATCTCATGGCCCTGAGATCACGACCTGAGCCGAAACCAAGTGTCAAACATTCAACTGACTTGAGTCACCCAGGTGCCCCCATGATAAGCTTATTTTTAAACAAACATTCTTTGGCTAGTTGGTGAAAATACTCCCAAGTGCTTAAGCAATTGTACATGACGTTATCCGACATAAAGAAAAACAGATTTTAAAAAGTATGGCAGGCGTTTTAAAGTAAAAAGAGATTTAGTCCTTACAAAGAATTTTTGACATTGTGATTAAAGACAGACTTCACAGAGAAAACATTTTTAAGGGCTATCCAAGGAAGCACTGAGTCCACTTGTTTGGGGAATGGGCAAGACTATAGAGAGATTTTATTTTTCTTTTCTGATATTTGCATAGTATGTATTTCTAGGCAAAGGTCTTTATAACAGCCTTTGTAGGCTATTCTCTTTTTCTTACAAATGAAAGGGAGCAGACTCTGCCATCCTCAGATATGCCACTTTGGCATATTGATTATTTTGAATTAAAGGTACTTGAGAAATAGCCAGTTTCTCAGAAGGACGATCTGACCGTCCTTTGTCCCCCTGAAAGCAGGAAATAAATCTCTCCTATGAAAAGCACCCTCCCTCTATTAGCAGGCTAGAAGGCATCCAGAAGTAGGGAGTTTAGGGCCCGAGAAGGATGCATAAACAACCCTTGTTACTTCATTAATTCACTACCCCAAGTGCAAACCCCTTTGTCATGCCATTTCTTCACAAATTTAGAAATCCTTCCTGCTTTGGACACTTCTTTGAATCTCATATTTTTATGGGGGCTCCAGTACATTTTATGGGGCTCCAGAAATTAAACTTTTCTCCCATTAACCTATCTTATGTCGATTTAATTATGAGGCCAGCCAAAGAACCTAGGAGGGAAGAAGGGAAAATGTTTTCACTCCTACAGAGGTAACCGTTAACACTCATATTGGGGTTTTCTAGAGAAAATTCCCTCAAATCTATAGAGCAGGTAGTGTTGTTTCCCCACTAGGAACAAATTGCATAGGGGTTGTTAAAAAGGAATTAGAGGAAGGGAAAGGGGGAATCTTCCCTACCTAATACCTTCAGTATTAAACTCTGGGTTTGTGCACAGACAGAACTCCTAAGGAGGCCTGAGTTTCCCTCTTTGATACTAAATCCAGGCAACTTGAAAACCTTACCAATACTCTGAGGAAAAGGAAAAGGGTGGCACTGGTGTCCTTGGGGTCTCCATCCTGATGGCCACAGACAAGGGGCTAGGCAACCCTCTCCTTTAACTTTCCTCCCTCCCCTAATGCCTGGCCTTATATGCCTACAAATATCCCAGAGTGGTTTGGGTGGTATACTTGAAAATGAGAGACATCCATATCAGCTGAAAAGTAAAAACACCAATTACAATTATTTCGTTACCCACATGAAGAATCATTTTATTAATTTTAACATATCCCTGCCTTACCCACTGGGGACCGGGAGGGGGGAAGACTGAACAATGCACCATGGTTTGCCTGGGACTGTCCCAGTCTTAAAGTGGAAAGTCCCATGTCCCAGAACCTCCTTAATAATGGGCAAAGTGCGTGGCTGGTCACCCTGGAAGACTGGGAAATTCAGGTTCTTATTTGCAGTGGACAAACACATTCTCAATGCTAACATCAAGAAGGTGTAAAGACACAAAACACACAAATTTAATACAAAGAAATTTATATTACTAAAACCTGCAGGGGCCCACACTGCCACTGCTTTCCCTTAATAAATGTAAAGAGAAGCACAATAACCACCCAACCCCCAGTCCTCATTCTAGATCACTGTTCAGTTTGGGGGCACTGTGCCAAGGGCCGTCATGCAGGGCCCTGGTCCAGAGTCCACAGCCCAGGGCTACTTCCCCAGCACTGGGCTGGGGGCTTCCAAGGGCTCTCCTTCCACCTAGCTCCTTGGGTCCTGCTTTCTGCTTATTTTTAAAGCTGGGTTAAATGTAGAATGGGGGATAACAGGGCGGGTGTAGATAGGAGGAAACTGAATACTCCCTATTTGCCAGAACAATGAAGGATGAACATACAAATCATTTGCTTTAAGAATGCTAATTTGGGGGTACTTAGGTGGCTTGATCAGCTAAGCATCTGCCTTCGGCTCAGGTTATGATCTCAGGGTCCTAGGATCGAGCCCCCGTGTTGGGCTCCCCACTCAGTGGAGAGTCTGCTTCTCCCTCTTCACCTGCTCATGCACTCTCTCTCTCTCCAATGAATAAATAAAATCTCAAAAAAAAAAATGCTAATTTTAACGACTCATAATTTTTTCTTGCAATCTGAGTTTTAATGACTTTGATGGAATGGAGGGGTGGGGGAGATGAAGAGATTTTTCTCAAATATCCCCTTCTCTCCTACAGCCAGATCTTCCTTGGCTTCTTTTTAAATACCTCGAGTGTAGAATTTTCGGGGTAACATTTTCCCAGATTGCATTTACTGGGGCATGGGTGTATGCCTGTGTGTGTGCATCCACTTGGACTTGCTGGCATTTCAAACTTTTCTGTAAACTAACTTCTCAACGTTTAAAATCAGAATTTTAGAAAAATTCCTTTGATTACTAATTCAAATATTTCATTTTGCTTTAAGATCCCACTAAATTAGATGAGGACCCAAACTGTAAATCTGTACTTTTGCCAGAAATTCCCTATTTCTGATCAACGTGTACACTATTTCTGGGTCCCAACAAATACTTAAGCCATAGGAGGGCTCAGATGGAAGCAAATTCTAAGTTGCTCACAGTTACATATAAATAGTCTATGACAAATCTCTTACAACAGTTTCCAGATTGTCAGTCCTCCGAATTTGCTAAAGTAAAACATTATGAGAATTTTTTTTTTTTTAAAGGCTTTAAAGTGATAAAATACTAGGAGAAGGTTGTGGTAACAGCTCTACAATCCCCTTCATACCGAAGAACAGAGTTTAACAAAAGCAGACGCTAAAGGGAGAAATTCTGTTCAATATTTTGAAACTCACTTCAAGACGCTCAATACATTTGGTTAAACGTGGGGATTTAAATACGCATGAAATGCAGAAATCCGTTGCGGAGAAGTAATAAGGACCATGTAGTATTTTATACTAGGTACTTCATGCTCACAGAATGAATGGCTAAAATCAAATCTTTCACCTCAGCAAACATGCGACTTTCATTTTCAAAGGGTTCCATGGTAGTGGGGATTGGGTGGTTCTTGAAATCCCCACACACCTAGTTAAATCCCAACACAGTGTGTACCAAATATATTCAGCAGCAGCTCAACAGAATAAAGGCGTGGCCCACAGGACAGTAAGGTTAGGACCCTCTGCCCCATCACCTGGGCCACCTGGGACGAGTCTTCCAAGGGTAGGAGAAGAATGCAGGTGGCGAAGAAGAGAAGGAAGGTGGGAGAGGTCCTGACCAATCCCCAGCACGGAGTGGGAACCACACCTTCCCAGGGCAAGCCAAAGTGTGCCGGCCTCTCCTCAGTGTGAGATTTTAAGTTCTACCCTTAGACAGCTCTCAGCGAACGTAGGAAAATGACGTCCGACCCTTTGCAGAAGACAAGTTCCTCGCTTCTGGCCTTTAGGCCCCCAAACCAGGCAATATTCACCATCTGCCCTTTCCAGTGTGGCCATATAAGGGAAACAGAAAGTATCACCAGAGACCATATCATACGGTGACGACAAAGTCTTCACCCCCCCCCCCCCCGGGGACTCGGCATTTTTCATAAGAGAGACCTGTTGGATCCGCAAATAATTGTTTCAAGTGTCTGGCAGGGTGTGGCACCGTATCCTTTCTACTGCGATAAGACTATTCGAGGGAAGCCTGTTTTAGGGAACGAGCCAACATATGACAGGCTCCTTGTCCTCATGCAAGGACAGACGCCACGGACGGACGGACGGACGGACGGACACTACTTACACACTCCGTGTGCACCGGATGCGTGGCGAATAGCAGAGCGGCCAGCAGGGACGATCTGGGGGCCAGGTTCAACCTCCGGCCTCTACTCGTGTACTGCAGGCCGCCCAACAGTACGGAGAAGACATCCACCATGAGGACAGAGATGCCACCGTGCAGGAGGATGTTGATCACGTGGAAACTCATGGGGTGGAAGCCTCCACACAAATAGTAGTTAATCCTGTAAGTGAAGGGGGTTCATACCAGATGCGCAGAAGCGTGCAATAGGAAATGCAAACCATCTGAAGGAAAACGCTGGTGAGTAATAGTATTCCGGGTAGAAGAGGAGGTTTGCCGAAAGTGACAGCAAGATAAATAATGCCTATCAAGCGAGGAAGGTTGAAGAAAGGGTGAGAGCATATAATTAACTGCAGGGGGAAAAATGGAGAAGAGCATCTCAGAGGAGTGGGAGATAATGTGGAGAGGAAAAGCAAAAGGAAAACCGGACAGATTTTTAAGCGCTAAAAAGGCCAAGGTAATATAATATAGCACACATTCCTCCTGGCTCCCCATAGGGACCTGGGTTTAAGATAGTCCCGTAACTTGCTTATCCAAAAAACAAAAGCACTCCTTAATAGTTCGTCCATCAGCCTTCCATCCCAACAAAACACATTCTCACGGTCAGGGATTCTTATTCCTGACTGCCGCTCACTCCCCAGCCGTTCTAATTCATCATTTCTCTGCTTCGGAGAGATCTGTACACACGTGTTTAGTGCACCTGAGAAACAGCTACGAGTGGGAATTTTGGTGAGGTGAATAAATCTACCTAACGCAAATGGGGGGGAGGGGGAGGCTGAGAGTGTTTTTAGCTTAATTTTGTTTCTGCACATTGACTTGGTAACAGTAGGAAGATTTTTACCTTATTATTTTCGTAGCGGAAAAAACCCCACAATTTCATTAGATGCCGCAGGCTGCCTTGACTCACACTTTTTCTCCAGTGTTAACCAGCAAAAGCCCAACCTCCAAGAAATGTGCAAAATATGGAACGTTTCACTAATGTGCAGGTCATCCTGCACAGGGACCAATGCTCATCTTCTCTGTATCCTTCCACTTTCAGGATCCGAACCGGCAAAGCCAGCCCTGGAGTCAGGTTTCCTCATGCACATTCTCTCCATCTTCCTGTGACCTATTCCTAACAGCTGGGATTAGCACGTGCTTCTTGGAGACCCATATGAGTGAGACCATATTTTCCCCCAGGATCCCCTGGCTCGACTCCCCCCCACCCCCACCGGGAGGCTTATCACATTGAACTTGGTACAGCATCCACACAGCTTGCGCCATCACCTACCTGAAAGTGAGGACGGTCAGAGGGCGGTAGGACTTGTGGCTGGTATTGCTGCTCAGCCTACTGCCCCAGAAGTCATGATGCCACAGGTCCCCGAGGGGCGTCTCTGCTCGGAGGTCCTGCAGGAACGCAGCAGAAGGCATTCTGAACAAAGGAGTCCCTCCCCTCCCCCATCCCGCGTCTCAGCGCTCCCGGCAAGCTCTTCCTTGGAGCTGTGCATTCCCCTCTGCTCCGTCCCTCCCACCAGTCCTGGCCCAAACCATCATCATCTCTCCCCCTAGGATACCGCCAGGCCTCCCAGCGGATCCACCGCGCCCTGTGACATGTTCTCCAGGCTGATCTCTCCAAAACGCAAATTGGGTCACCCGCCCTACCCTGCTTAAAACACTACAATAGCTACCCTCCTCCCCCAGGACAGAACCTACGTCCTGATGTGGGTGCCCCAGCCCAGGGTGCTCGGGCTCCTGCAGAGCTCTGCCTGTTCATCTCCCTCAGACTCTGACCTTTGTCCTAACCCCACTCAGCACCTGCTGCCACCCATCCCAAAGGCTTGGCACGCATAGGTGTCCACCGGTTACCCCTCAGCTCTTCACAGCCCAGTTCCTCCCGCCACTCACATCTCAGCCAGCCAGCTGTGACCTTCCTTAGCTGATATAATTCCCTTCCCGTGGGTCTCCCAGCATCTCGCACCTGTCCTTACAGTGCCCAGCACACCGGCGGTTTATAATCTCTAACTCCCATCTGTCTGCCCCACAGGACTGAGGGTCAAGGAGGCCCGGGCCACATCGTGTAGGTGGGGAGTATACAGAAGGTACTTAATCTACGTTGAATGAACTAATGGATCACATAGCTCTTTCATATTCATAAGATAATTTCCCTAAAATATCCCAGTTAAAACATGAGTGAACAAACATATATTGTTTATTTTTGATCATGAGCTAAACAGAAATGTTAAAGAAAAAACAACTTCCACATAATTTTTTTTAAATTTATATTTATTTATTTTTTGTTAAGATTTTATTTCTTTGAGAGACAGAGAGCAAGCACACAAGCAGGAGGAGAAGCAGAGGGAGAGAGAGAAGCAGGCTCTCCACTGAGCAGGGAGCCTGATGTGGGGCTCAATCCCAGGACCCTGAGATCATGACCCGAGTTGAAGGCAGATGCCCAACTAACTGAACCACCCATGTGCCCCCCCATGTAATTTTTAAAGATAAAAATCATTAAATATTAAAAAATGATACCTATCTTACTATTAAGGTAATTTAATTTGGTTCTATACTACAGATGCTTAAAAATGCATCTTTTTAAAAAACATTTAAATGTAAAATTAGGGGTGCCTGGGTGGCTAGTCAGCTAAGTGTCTGACTCTTGATTTTGGCTCAGGTCATGATCGCCAGGTCGTGAGATCGAGCCCCGTGTTGGGCTCTGTGCTCAGAGTGGAGTCTGCTTGTTCCTCTCCCTCTGCTCCTCCCCCCACTCATGCTCTCTCCCTTTCTCTCAAATAAATAAATAAAAATAAATAAATAAATAAATAAATAAATAAATAAATAAATAAATAAAATCTTTAAAAAATGTAAGACTAAATTGCTTAAACTGTGTCTAACAAGAAGAGGCAGACAAGGCACCATAGAGTAAGCAACGAAAGTGAATGTTGATTTTCTCTTTAAAGCGTAACGAAACAGGGACATTTTAGAGACTAGCAATTATGACATGCTATGCACCACACAGTGTATCAGTCAAGACTCTTCGTAGCAGGAACCAGAATCAACTCTGATTAACATAAACAAAAAAGGACTGCTTTAAAGACGATGGCAAGGCTCACGGACTCCCAGGTGGGCTCCCAGTTTGGGGCGCCATAGCCAGAAGCACACCCACAGATCACACCACTAGACAGTATCAGGTGCCCAGCTGCCTCCAGATCCTGTCCTCTTTGTGTGACTAGCTCCTGCCTCCAACAGGTGGAGTCTGCATCCAACCTGGACAGTCTCGGCAGCTTCTAACAACCAAGATGGGCAAAGCCTCAAGCAGAAATGCATCCAATATGGCCAGCCCAGAAGAGCAACCAGGGTCTACAGCACCTGGGGGGAGGTCAGGAAGTATCACGACTTCAGTCCTTACTGACTCAAAGGGCAAGGCTTGAGGATGGGTGATAGAGGCAAAGCTGGTCACCTGATACCCACTTGGAGGGTGAATTTCCCTTCCATTGTGTATCAGCTTCAGAGTCCTTAAGCATACTGACCCCTTTTCTAAGAGTCAGTTCGAGATTTCATGAAGGTCTCGGAAACCACCCACTAATTTGGTTGGCTCAGTTACAAAACTGGAAGTCCCTTTTCTTTTGCATTGTCCCAGAAGTACCTCTTCACTTGTGAAGGAGCTGGGCGGATGCTCTTTCCCTCCATTTGAGCAGAAAATGAACACCAACAAAGCTCTAAATATTTGATTAGGTGTAGCCTACACACAGCAGGGTGCACTACAGGAAGAAAGGTCAATTTTTCCTCATAATGATTTATGGAAAAGACATGTGCCTGAAATTCCTGCTAACTCCACTGTCTCAAAGAAAATCATCATCTCAATGAAAAAAGGCAACTCAACACTACAAGGAAGCATCTGGAAAACAGTCTTCAACACCAATAAAACCCAGGAACAGCCTGTTTCACATTACTGTGGGCACCGTGCCAACGAACAGAGCAGAGCCTTTCATTAGACAGGAAAGGAAAAAAGGAGGGCTAGCAAGTTAACAAAGGGGCACAGTGTGATGTTCTAGAAAACCCTGCCAAGACAATGTGCAGCAGAGCCACAAAATGGCTTCATCTGCCTTACCGCACACAGAAGGAAGCATTCTCACTGCATACCAGGGCATCCCAAGTACAACAGAGCTCGTGCCTTCCCCTGCCTTGTTCATCAGAGCCCTTCAACATACGTTCTAAGTTAACACCGTCTCTCCTCCACTTTGTCAAAGTAGAAGATCCAAGAAGCTCTCAAAGAAATGAAGAATGGGCTTTAAAATTAAGTCACATTCTCATATTTTCGTTCGAAAAGCAACTCTGGAGCGATGAAACCACCAATGGGACGTACTTGCTGGGAGCTACAAACTTAACAACTCTTGCTTTTAAGCATGATTCAAAAAAGAACGCTGCGTAACTTCGGGGTGAACCTGAGGAAAATGGCAAGGGAAGAACCTGGATTCATAACAAACATCAAGGATGCTGTAGTCTGTGTCCTCAAAATAGAGAAAATCAAGTACAGGTAATATGTTACAAACTCAATACCTGCACAAGTCACCCCCACTCCCACCCCGCCCTCACCCCACAGAACACATGTGAATTTTTCTCAACATTTTCAATATGAAAATGACTTTTTTTTTCTCATTTAGGAGAATCCATGACTTGATGGATTTTTTTTTTAATTTTTTTTTTTTTTAAGATTTTACTTATTTATTTGAGAGAGAGAGAATGAGATAGAGAGAGCATGAGAGGGGGGAGGGTCAGAGGGAGAAGCAGACTCCCCGCCGAGCAGGGAGCCCGATGCGGGACTCGATCCCGGGACTCCAGGATCATGACCTGAGCCGAAGGCAGTCGCTTAACCAACTGAGCCACCCAGGCGCCCTTGATGGATTTTTTTTAAGAGCATTTTTAAGAGCAATTTTAAGAGCATTCAACCACAGTGTTGCAAGGAGTTGCTAGAGTTGCATCTACCGCAGAGAAAGAGATTCGTGTATTCCTTCAGGTTCTCTTCATTGGTTAAGGCACATGCGTAAAGTGTCTGCTGAGTAACTGGGTTGTCACAAAGACTCTAATCTGTGCCATCTCCCAGTTCTTTCTCCTCTGGGCTCTCCCTACATCCAAGTTTCTTGTTCCGACTTCCTTTTAGCTCACTTGAATCTTTTTATTCCCTTCCCCCACACCTATTTCTTCTTCCTTATCTCTAGCTAGTGAAAGACAGTGTCATTTTTCCTGCATCGATATAGCACCCACTGGTGAGCAAAACTGGCTGGGATTTTGCAAACTCAGCAAATTTGAGTCTCCAAACAAGAAATGAGCAGGAACTGCAGCTTCCACGGACAGCACACTCCTCACCCTCCAGCAGCTGCCAGCAGATTGTCCTGATGCTCTCAGCAAAGGACAAAGAAGATGCCAACTCGCTGGCTGCCTACTGCTGAGGACGCACCTCTTGGCAGGTGATCAGACTCATCCATCACGGTAGCAAATGCATACTGGGGTGGGGGGAGGGGCGGGGAGAACAGCTGTGGCCTAGAATTCTGGAAATTTGTCACAAAACCTGAAAGACTTAGTCTGCAATGCCTTGCAATACCCTTCCTTGCCTTGTAATCTGAGAGAAACGGTCTCTCTGATACACGTGTAGACTGGGTATGTGGGAGAGTACGTGGGGCCTCGGACAGGGGACGTGGGGAGAGTACAGCCTGCGGTCAGGCAGGGGCTGGAGACCCTGCTTCCAGCAATAAAAGGGACCCTAAGTCGAGGAGATGCGACCTGAGAAGTGGGAAATCTAAACCCAACAGTGCTTAACCAAAGTTTAACACAGAATTATTCAATGCAAACTTCGATTATTAATGAGAAACAGGCAAATGGTTAACCTAAGTTTACCGAAAAGGAGTTACAATACAGTACCTTATTGTTAATAATAGCTTCAGAGTCATCAAAGACAAAATCTCCATCGTAGCTACGCGCGAAACACACGAGGGAAACAAATCCCACCACTAACTTAGCCCAGAAAGGGGGAAGAACAGAAGACGGAATGATGCGATCCAAATCGGCGTCCAGCTCGGCCATTTTGCAAACTGCTGGCTGCCAGTCTCTCGCTCCAGCATTATGCTGGTTAGAAATCTACAAGAAAAATGACAAGACACAAGTATTCATCAACACGCTGTTAGGAATGTTTCTGCAGTGGGCATGTGTACCTTAAGTGAGTAAGAACTAGACAGCCATCTATGCTGTGAGTTTACAGGCTGTGATCATTACAAACTTTTAAGTTGTGGTTTTCTGTGGGCAGTAGAGTCACCTGGGACACATGTAAATTCGCCTGGGCCCATCTGCCACTACCAAACTGGAAGCCCTTGGGTTTCGGATACTGGATTATCTTGAGAAACACTGATTTCAGGGAATCCTGTATATATCAACCCCATAAGGTAAGTTGTTTTTATAGTCCTTTACACCAAAGTTTAAAAAAAAAAGTTAGCATGTTGCTTCATCCAATCAAGAGAAATCAATAAATACTCCTTGTTGGGTCTTAACACACTGTGTGTGTGCGGGGGGGGGGGGGCCTTCAGCGGGGGAGGGAGAGAGGGGCGGCGGGGGAGCTAGTGTATAAACATGGTCCTGATTCTGAAAGAGCTTACAGTCTCTCTCAAAACTCAGACACTCATGCCAGTTAGATGAAAATCCAGAGAGCGCGGTTTTAACACAGATGATGAGGCAGGGCCCACGATCAAAGGCCAGCTGAGAGGTTCATACACAGAGGAAGGAGAGAACACTGTAGACTCATTGGTTTAGGACAATACCTTAGTCCAGAAAAGGCCGAGCTGAATCCTAAAGCAGAGGAGGAAAAGCTAGTCCAGGTAAGGATATAACCTTCAATGTTGAAGAAAGAGTCAAGTTAAAAATACACTCTTGGGCGCCTGGGTGGCTCAGTCCGTTAAGCGACTGCCTTCGGCTCAGGTCATGATCCTGGCGTCCCGGGATGGAGTCCCGCATCGGGCTCCCTGTTCAGCGGGGGGTCTGCTTCTCCCTCTGACCCTCTTCCCTCTCGTGCTCTCTGTCTCTCCTTCTCTCTCTCAAATAAATAAATAAAATCTTTTAAAAAAAAAAATACACTTAATTTTTTAACTTTTTTTTCCAACAGGCAAAAATGTTAAAGTCAGAACGGGTTGTCCCTCTGCCTTGCCATTTATTAGTTCTGCGCCTTGTGCATGTCACCTGCCCTTTTGGAGTCTACTTCCTGTGCCACTCAGCAAAGCATAAGAACTTTCCAGTGGTGAGAACTGCCCAAGAGAGCTTCCTGCCTTGGAACTTGCCCGAATATCAAACTACCCTGCAAATCACATTTTATCTGTCCCTATTCCCGCTACTCCCTCAACAGGTGCTTTCTTTGGATTTACAGAATCTTGTTTAGCTCAAACTGTTCAGGTTCCAATCTTGTGTTACCTTGGACAAGTCACTTAACCTCTCTGGCCTCAGTTTCCTAGCCTCTACAATGGGGATAACTGTTCTACCTTACGTAGTTGCCATTAAACAAAATACCCACCTGAAGTGCTTAGGACTGCTGCCTGGCTGTAATGACTGTTCAGGGGAGGTAACTATGATTACAAGCACTTTCTTTAAGAAGGGTAAAAACACAGGCACAGAACTATTTCTCAAGATCCCCTTTGGCGGGCACCTGGGTGGCTCAGTTGGTTAAGTGACTGCCTTCGGCTCAGGTCATGATCCTGGAGTCCCTGGATCGAGTCCCGCATCAGGCTCGCTGCTCAGCGGGGAGTCTGCTTCTCCCTCTGACCCTCCCTCTCTCGTGCTCTCTCTCTATCTCATTCTCTCTCAAATAAATAAATAAAATCTTAAAAAAAAAAAAAAAAGATCCCCTTTAGCATTCTGGTTTATTGTCTACACTAGGAAGGGACCCGGCCCCCAGTCTTTTCATGCTAAGGTGGAAGAGAATCCCAGAGCCCTTGATTGGGAAGGCAGTTTAGATGTATTTAGATCCACCCCAGACGATGGAATCAATAAGAAGTCAGCAAAACAGGCCGAGGTCACAGACATCTTTTCTGTAGGCTTTTATCTGAGTGAATGTGGAGAAAGATCCAACAGTCAACGGGACACATTATCCTCTGATAACGTTGCCCCTCTCCAGGTGCTGGAAAGGGGTCCAGATTACAATCCAGAGAGGAAAGGCTCTGCATCTCCCTCACTGCTGGTCCCTCAAGCTTCTCCCACTTAATGGAACTCACACTCCCGCAAATGCTGGGGGGAAATAGTCCAGCTATTGTCTGCTGCCTTTTTTCTTTTCCACTGAAAGTATAGACCACTGGTGATATCCAAAGTACAGCCGCAAATACAATACAGGTCACCATGCAGGCCCCTACCACTATGTCTATGTTTCAGCTAAAGAAACTGCTACTTAAAAAGCAAAGCAAAACAAACAAAAATGTGAAAAAAAATCACAAAGACCATGCAGTTAGAAAGATACCATGACTTAACACAGAGGGAATAAAACTGTTCTTGGATTTGGAAAATTAATATAGAGGAAAATACATCAGTTTTTGTTGTTGTTTTAAGTAAGTCTCCATTGAGCTCCAATGCAGGGCTTGAACTCCTGACCCTGAGATCAAGACCTGAGCTGAGATCAGGAGTCAGATGTTTAACCAACTGAGCCACTCACCCAGGCACCCTAAAATAAATCAGCTGTGAGCTGAGAATGGTCACACAGCTGGTCTTGATGTTTCCTGCTTTAGGCCCAAATATTTGAATATTATTTCACAAAAGGCTGTTGTGAGGTTCCAATACCCATACGGGAAGAATACCGAAGCAAGAGATAATCTGTGCTCCTAAATTCGCTGTCCTGCTCCACTTTTCATATCAGAGTATTTACAATAGAGGTAAATCGTTTTGGTACTCGGGCGACAGCCTGGATATACGGAAGGAAGACTGGGGACCCGAACATCAGCAGTACCCTGGTGGGCCAGGCCCAGACTCAGTCGCCAGGACAGTTGAGTCAATCTCAGAATGTTCTCCCCCTCTTCTATTGCAGGGACATCAGGGAACCTAGAGTCCGCCCCGTTCCTTGCCCTCCACCTTATTCTTTTCTGCTGGCCTCCTGTCTCCTCATTGCGGCTTCCCTCCCAAGTCACCAAGGTTCTCACTACTTTGCTGTCCCTGAAAATACTCAAAAATGCCCTTTTCACTGAAGGCATGATGATTAGTGTATACACTGGGATAGTTCAGAAAATACTGTGGATTAGCAAATGCAATAAAAGCTCCAATGTGTTAGGAATCTATGCAAAGTTCTCAGGGTGTCGTTAAGAGCACAAGCTCTGGAGGCAGGCTGACTTGGACTTGCTACCTTTGAGACCTTGAGGATCAGTTCCTTTTCGGCACAACTGGGCACCACTGTATACTTCAGGAGGTTGTCATAAGGATTAGAGGACAGAATGTATGGAAACAATTAGTTCCCCTTACTGTTACTATTTTGGAGAAACTGGTTCCGTGCCTGGTCCCTGATCTCCCATCTGGGGAACACTGATGTGGCCATCGATTCTTTATTCCTGCAGATGGGCTTCCCAACCCAGGCCAGCAGTAGCCTATTTGGTGTCCTGGTATCACTGAGAAAAAGGTGCCCTTCTTTGGATGGGCCCAGGGCACTGCGTGCTTGGCTGGTGTCTGTATGTCCTGCACAAGCTGCAGAGTGTAACAAAGTGACCCTGCTCCCAACCTCGCTTCCTCCAACAGGAAATGGACTTTGTTCTGTGATGATCCCAGGCCTGGTGCTCAAGTAGAAGTCCTGCCAGAGTGAGGTGGTACAGACCAGTGGACCCACCCCTCCACCCCTGTGTTCGCAGGCCATGAAATAGGAAGGCCCACATTCTGTTTTTCTCTTGACAGGTCCCCAGCTGCACTGTCCCATTCCTCTCCTCCAGGTGTCCTGCTTGGGAGCCTTGGCTCCGGGGTGTGGCTGGATGGTAAATTCACTGTATGAGGTAAAAAGAAGGGAGCCTCATGGAGGCCTCAGGCTCCGTCCAAAGTGGTGCTGCGGCCAGTCTGACCAGTGATAGAGCTGCTGCTTTGACCCCTCTCTGACTCCTGTGCTCATTTCACACTGTTCAGAATTAACTGGCCCTAGAGGGAACTGAATTTGGAACAAAGCAAAAGGCTCTTTAGCCTCAATTTCGCAAAACTTCTAATATGAAGCCTCTATTGTTAGGGGGTTAAAACAAATTAATCCATCATCAATGGTGAAAAAGACCTCAAACAAGGGCCCCACCTCCCAAAACACATGTCACGAAGCTGTGAACCCTGGGGACCCAGCAGCCTGGGACTACAGGAAACAGGAATGGTGAGACTAAACCTAAAGGATTCACCCTGAAACAGTAGTGATAGCCACCTACTACAGAATATTCCTCCACATGCATGGAAGGGCCTGCTGGCCTCTGGCCGACCTTTCTACCTCATCAGTAACAATCCATCCAAACGCAAGTTGCCCTCTGCCAGGCTGAGCCGAGACAGGGCTTCTGGAAATCAGATTAAAGAACACCATCATTTCTGACCCAGCATCTGGAGACTTGAGCTAGCAGCTCCTCTCTTGGGACCCTGGAGGTATGGGAGCCTGTCATCTCCACCGCCCTCCACCAGGCAGAGCTGGAAAAAAAAAAAAAAAGCTACTCAAAGTATCTTCCTCTTGTGATAGCCTTTGCTCTTTTAAATTCACTAACAGGCGAGAGCCATGCCTGCCTACCGCAAGAATGCCTGGGTGAGGTTCGACATTCACAGTTACGCTGTCCCAGAAAGTTTCCAGCTTGCTAGTTTGTAGCCATTTTCCCATCTAAGTCACCCGCATCACTTCACCCCACGCCCATCTGGGGCTGTACCAGCCACGGTCAGGACTGGACTGCCGGGAGAGGGGACAGAGAGGAGGTCCAGTCAGTCGTTACTGTAACTGTTCCTCAAGGAATCCTCATCCATCTGCTCTTCCAGAGATAACAGTTTTGGATGGTTCACTGCGCGCTGGCTTGATCTTTTTTTCTAACTCCTCCCTTCTTTTGTGTGTGGTTAAAAAAAAAAAAAAAAAAGGAACAGGAAAGGAAGAAACACACACACACACAGCCCACAGTCAAAACATCAACAAGACCAGAAGCCCCGCGGAGTTCGCAGGAGGTGAGGCGGCGGCTGCGCCACCTGCTCGGCTTCCCTAAACTCCAAACCCGCACGGGGCAGTGGCAGCTCGGTGGCCCCGGGCACCCCGGCCGGTGGCACGCGGCTCTCCCGCCGCTCCGCTCGGCAGCCAGCGCGGAGGAGCTGGCACTCGCGGCGCTGCAGGGGAGCTGCCTTTAACCCAGGGCAGGCGGCCAAGAGGCCCGGCTGTGCCCAGCCATCGCCGGCGCCGCGGCCAGCTGGCGGCCAGGCGCGGGGCCTCGCGGCCAGGTGGCCGCTCCGGGAACGCGCCGCAGGCGCCTGGTACGGAGCGCCCGTGCAGTTGGAGCAGACAGGGGTGGCAGCGTGACCGCAGCCCGGGGCGGAAGGGGCGCAGGAGCCCGGGCGCGGGCAGGCGGAGCGCGCACCCTTCACGCCGCGCCCATTGTCCCGCGTGCAGCTTACATCGGGGCGCACGGTGCTCGGGGCTCGCGTCCCCCGTGACCCCGGCCCCGGCCGCAGCCCAGGTCCTGAGGCCAACTCCCAGTAGCACCGCCGCCGGGCCCGGGCCGGCCCGCGGGGCTCGGGGCACGGCGACAGCGGGGACCCCGCGTCCGCTCCGCGCCCAACTCCGCTCGCCTCGCGGCACGCTCGGCCGCTCCGCCCTGCAGGGGCCGCCCCGCGCGTTACCTGCAAGGAGCCCGAGCGGCGGCCGCATCTCCCTCCCGGGCGCGGAAACTCCGGCCGCTCTCGGCGCCCGCCCGGAGCTGGCCAGGGGGAGGGGCCTCCCGCGCCGCGCCCCCGCCCTCCCGCCGCGCCCCCCCGCCCTGCGCCGCGCGCCGCCCGCGCCGCCCGCACCGCCCGCAGCTCCCCACGCGCGCGGGCGCTCACTCTTACACTCCCGCCTCCGCCCGCCCTGTCCTCGCGGCCATTGGCTGCTCCTGCGGTCACTTTCACGCCGCAGCCCGTCCCTCTTCAGCTCATTGGAGGACGCGCCGGTGACGTCGGGCCAGAGGGCGCTAGTCGGCGGCGAAAGAGGCGCAGGGACAGACGGCGTCTGCGGGAGTGCAGGAAGCGGAGTCCCAGGCGCGGAGGCCGGGCGGGGCCCGGCGGGAAGGGGCGGCCCCCAGCCTGGTCCCGGGGGGCGGGCTGCGCGGGCGGGCCCGCCTCCTGCCGTCCGCGGGCGAGGAGCCTGTCCCGGGTCTGTCTTGCGCTCCCTGCGCTGTCGGTGGCGCTCCGCGGCGGGACTGCAGCGTTCCTGCAGGAAAAGGAGCTGGATGAGAACCATCAGGACTCTTCCTGTCGGGGGAGGAGTTGTTTTAAATTTGTGTGTCTCCACGTTCTGCCTGCCTGACTTCTTCCTGTCTGGGAGGAGTTGTTTCAAATGCGTCGGTCTCCACTTTGTGCCTCTCAGCACACAAGTGAAACTGCGTTCTTCCATCCGAGGCCCTGCCGCCTATTGTTATTAATGGGTCCTCTTCCTCGGCTCAGGTCTTCATTCTGCTGATGCACGAACCCTGCTGTGGCACTTCACCTGGCCAGATCCGACATTCAGGCGTCCATTCACCAGTAGCCACTTTGCCCGAAACTTTACTCCCAACCAGCTTGCCACTCCGCCCGCCAGTAACGCCCATCTCAGTAGATCACTTGGCTGCCTCCGCAAAAGGAGAGAAACCTTTTGCGTTTTCCGCCGCCTAACACACAAACTTCCTTAAAGCACGGATTCCACCCTCCTTTCCCCGCTTTCCCCCCAGTATCACAGAGTCCAGTCTGAGATCAGTCTCTCTCTCGACTGGATCCCAATCATCAGCATTTCATCAGTCCTAAGCCTTCCTCTGCCCCTCACCCCGCCCTTCCAGCTGCCACCCGGTCCCCTCTCCTACTCCGCATAACTGAAAAAAGAGCTGCCGGTCCCCACGCCCCCCCCCCCCCCGTTCTAGTCTTTCAACTCCCCTTTCTAGTCGTCTTGGTTTCCACATTCCGCTGAAATTGCCTTTCCTGTAGTCACCCATAATCACTAAATCCAAAGGACACTCTCCTTTCTCATTTTACTTGATCTCTCAGCAAAATTCTTCCTCAGACACACTTCTTCTGGTGATAGTGGTCGGCTGCTCTGTTTCCCCAGTCTCCTTACTTTGCTCATCTGCTGCTTGATGACTTCCAAAGGACATATTTTTACGGTCTCAGCCCTTTCATGCCACAATTTTTCCCTGTACGATTTAATCCACTGCCAACGTTTCAATCAATAGATCTCAGATTTACAGTCCAGTCCTTATTTATCTGAGCTTCAACCCCATTTATCCAGCTTCCCCCTGGTTGTGTCACTGGCACCTGGGATGGAAGACGTCCCAGATAGAATGCATGCTTTCACTGCTTTCTCCTCCTCGGGTCTCCCTGTAATAGTGATGTAACTGCCACAGTATTTTCCAAACCCTTGGCATCTAACAAATCACCAAGGTTGTACTTGCTAAATGTCTATCAGGTCTGCCCACTTCTTTCCATTTCCACTGCCATATATAAAAATGTCATGCTGCTGTGTGTGTGTCTTCCTAACCCACATTCAGTGATGTCACATTGGCAGATTGCAATTGGTCATTGCGAGGGTATTTACACCGTAGAAATTAGCAAACACTATGAATCAGGGCTTAATTTGTTTTGCTGATTGTCTCTAGGCTTAAGAAAGTGATGGGTTAATAATGCAGATTAAACTTTAAAATGTGTTGTGCTTAGTGCTGAAGCTGAAAGATTTTAGTTTAATGGGTTTATTTATACAGGGTAAAAAATAGCTTAACAGATCACATATCAGATTTAGTCACAATAAATTTATTGGGAAAAGAGCAGATTGAGATCCAATCCTTCTGTGAAACCATGGTTGAATTACAAGCAGTGGTTGGATAAAGATACAAGACTTCAGAAAAATCAACAAAGGCATAATGTGAGAATGCCTGAATGATGCTGCATGACCTGGCCCCGTGGGTCTCTGCGCCTGTCGCCTGTGTTTCCTGAGCTCGGCCACATTGGCCTTTTATAGTCCGAGAGTGTTATGCTTCTTTCCATCTTGGGCTGTTCACATACCCTGCAGCACTTTCTCCTGCTCTTCTTGTGACACTTGGCTAACTCCAAGTCATCCTTCAGGTCCCTGCTCAAATGTCAATTTCTTAGAAAAGCCTTCCCTGAATTATCTCCCCAAACACCCTTAGGTCCCTCTTTATATGCTCTCATTGTTCTTATCACAAGTGTAGCTAACTATCCATGTGATCATTGTATGAAGTCTATCTCCATCATTAGACTGTGAATTCCACGGAGGTAAGGGTCATGGCTGTCTTAAGTACTGTATCCTTGCAGCTGCTGTTCCTCCCACAGAGCAGGCACTCAACAATGTCTCTCCAAAAGGAGTACATTTCTGAAAGTCATACTGCATGTTATTGGTGATGCTGGAGTTAGAATTGGAATCTCCTGACTTAACGCAATGGAATTCTACTCCATAAATTGCTGAGCCAGCCATGATCAAAATGTTATCCTACTACGTGTCAAGGAAGAGGCAGGCTCTGTGAATATTAAGGTGAACATGGTGCTGATTCCAACTTTTACAATCTTACGGTTTATTTTTATTATTTTTTTGAAGATTTTATGTATTTATTTGACAGAGAAAGCAAGAGAGCACAAGCAGGGGGAGCAGCAGAGGGGGAGGGAGAAGCAGGTTCCCCGCTGAGCGAACAGCCTGATGCTGGGCTCGATCCCAAGATCCTGGGATCATGACCTGAGCTGAAAGCAGACGCTTAACTGACTGAGCCACCCAGGTGCTCCAATTTTATGGTTTATTAAGAAGTATGAGATGCAGGGGTGCCTGGATGGCTCAATCAGTTAAGCAGCCAACCAGCCAACTCTTGATTTCACCTCAGATCATGATCTCAGGTTCCTGGGATCAAGTTCCTCATCAGCCTCCACACTTACTGGGGAGTCTGCTTGAGGATTCTCTCTCTCCCTCTCCATCTGACCCTCCCCTCACTCGCACTCTCTCTCACTCTCTCTAAAATAAATCTTAAAAAAAAAAGGTATGAGATGCAGGTTCATACACTGACCCCCCCAACCCTTGACTCCCAGATGGGGGTCACCATCACACATAGAAAACAGGTTGGTTGAGTGCTTAGTTTGTGGCAGGCGCTGTGCTAAACCCTTTGCATGTTATTTTAAAAAATTCTCACAGAAACTCTAACAAGTGAATATCATTATCTTAATCCTATGGATGAGGAAAAAGAGGCACAGAGGTCCAGAGTCAAACAGCCAGTGCATTTTTTTTTTCTTTTTTAGAAGCCAGTGCATTTTTCTTTCTTTCTTTCTTTCTTTCTTTCTTTCTTTCTTTCTTTCTTTCTTTCTTTCTTTCTTTCTTTCTTTCTTTCTTCTTTCTTTCTTTCTGAGGAAGAATTTAGTGATTCATCAGCTACATATAACACTCAGTGCTCATTACATCAAGTGCCCTCCTTAATGCCCATCACCCATTTATCCCTTCCCTCCACTGCCCCCCTCCAGCACCCCTCAGTTTGTTTCCTAGAGTTCAGCATCTCTTATGGTTTGCCTGCCTTCCAATTTTCATCTTATTTTATTTTTCTTTCCCTTCCACTATGTTGATCTGTTTTGTTTCTTAAATTCCACATGAGTGAAATCATACGGTATTTGCCTTTCTCTGACTTATTTCACTTAGCATAATACCTTGTAGTTCCATCCATGTCATTGCAAATTTAACCAGAGCATTTCTTAGTGGAGCCAAGACTGGGTGCACAACTGAGGGATGTAGCTGGAGATTTAAAGAACCCTTGAAATGCCTAAAAGGTTGATATTTGGGGCTGGAGAGAACTAGAACTGAGAAGACGGTAAGTATTGTCTCCCCCCCCCATACATTTTCCCTTTCTCTTTTCTTAGTAGCAGGTGTCAAAAGTTGTCGGAGGGAGGGGTGCCTGTGTGGCTCAGTTAGTTAAGCATCTGCCTTCAGCTCAGGTCGTGATCTAGGGGTCCTGGGATCCATGCTTGGTTGGGAGTCTGCTTCTCCCTCTCCCTCTACCCCTCCCCCACCGCTTGTATACACACACACTCTCTCTCTCTCTCGCTCTCTCTCTCTCTCTCTCTGTCTCAAATAAATAAAATCTTTTTCAAAAAAAAGTTGTTGGAGGGAGATGAACCATTTGAGCCTTTTGGAGGGAAACTACTTTCCCTAAATCACAGGGGGTGGGGGCAGTTGGTGGGCTGGCAATTTAGAGTTTCTTTTGGGAGGAATGGATGTTGGAGAGGTAGCCATTAGGATATTTTACCAGATGGCATTTGGAAGGGGATAGAGTGTCAAGGGAGAAGTTTACTGTTAATACATGAAAGATTTTAATTTGTTTATATGCTGAGAAGTAAGAACCAGAAGAGAGGGCAAGATTGAAGGTAAAGGAGGGAAAAAAAGTGATATGGACCATGGTCTCTGAGGAGCTAAGAAGAAAATCTAATCCAGGGTACAGGTTGGAATAGATACCTTTTTCCTCTTAAGCTAAAGAATATTTAGTGATGCTAAATAATATAAACCTCCCTTTCATATGTTGTCTAATTTTGGGGAAACATATTTTCACCTGTTTACCCAAGTTCAACAAGTTAGCCATCTGCTCTATTCTTACATTACCTACCTGCTTTCTTTAATTTTTTCTAAATTTTCCTCTTTTTTTTTTATTTTTTAAAAGATTTTATTTATTTACTTGACAGAGAGAGACACAGCAAGAGAGGGAACACAAGCAGGGGAAGTGGGAGAGGGAGAAG